AGAGAGGAACATTCCTGGTGCATTCACTGTGTGGTGCAGAACGCCATCGGTGTGAGTCCCCACTGTGTGTGCCACCCTCATCTTAGTGCCATGCTGTACCCAAACGGGGAGCTGGCGGGTCTTCCTGAGGACATCAGCTGTGTTAGAGTCCACAGCAATGTGTGGCCCTGTCTCTGCTCCCCAACTCACCCTCCCTGGTCAGGAATAATGGATACCTCTTGGCATTCTGCTTCACTGTCTGTCTACTATTCACTTTCTGTTTACTGTTTTATTTTTTTTTAATTAATTTCTTTCCCACAAGATGAGACCATGAACCACCCCCTGTCTCAGCTGGCCCTGATCGTGGGCACGTGTGCATGCCTGGTATATTCAGGGTTCCCAGACACAGACCCAAGTCCCTTCCCACGTGGGTCCAGGTGCATCACCACCGTGCCACTGCCTGGTCTCTGACGTACCTTTCTGTGACCAAAACTTTAAAAGAAACTTGTATTGCCTTTGTATGTTCAAAATATGTTTAGAGGTTAGTGCTTAAGGTGCTGAACTCCACATGACCAACCACGGTTTTGAGTCCTGGACCTGGTAGCTTGCTTTCTCACTTTCTCTCTCTCTCCCTGTCTCTGGTCACATTGAAAAAGTTCTCATAAATAAATAAAATTAAATAATTATTTTAAAAATATGTTTAGGAATTTTCATTAAAATTACAGAACAGTTGGCAAAAACTTACAAAAAAAAAAAGGGTAGTGTGGTCCTTCTTCCTATGAGTCCTAGGGCCGAGCTGCGTTTGAGCTGTCATTTTGCCTGGTCCCCAGAGTGCTGCAGAACGTGTGAATGACCCTGGAGAGCAGCACGAGAAGGCGCTCAGAAGAGAAGCCGCTGTACTTGGAATGAAGGGTCCCTAGAAAGAAGGGCCTCAAATAAAGTGAACTATGTGTATGTCTGCCAGTCCTGAGTGGTTTGTTTTGTTTTCTCCTTTAAAATGGAGTCTGGAGGGGGCCAGCAGATGGTGTCGTAGTCCACTGGACTCCCACAGAGCCAATTGTAGTTCAAGTTCCAGACCTGGTGACTTGAAACTCAAGCCGGACGCATGTGCATGTGTGCCCAAAATCCCAGGAGGAGAAGCGATTGTGGTATGGCCATTCCCCTGGGGGTTATTTCTCATTTTCTCTCTCTCTTTCTCTGGTGAGCACATGCAGCCTAAGGCCAAAACCTCCATGTTTATATATATATATAAACCTGGATATCTTGTGAAACCTCTGAAGACTTAGATGGAGGCAGGCATAAGTAGAAGTAGTGCATGTACTTGCAGCTGTTTTCTTCCTCCAGTGCAACATGAATAATAGGCAGACTTTTCAGAACCTTTATAGAAAATGTGCGGGGAACCAGCAGTTAGCGTAATGGCTATGTCGCTGGACTCCCACGTAGTCGACTGCGGTTCACGTCCCGGACCTGGTGGCTTAAAACCCGCACCAGGCGTGTGTGCGTGTCTGCCCAAGATCCCAAGAGGAGAATGGAGGAGAAGGGATTGTGGCGTGGCCATCCCTTCTGGGGGGTGATTTCTCGCTTTCTGTCTCCCTTTGCCTTTCTGGCGAGCGCACGCGCCCTATAGTGAAAAACCTCTCAAAAAGAAAAAAGAAAAGAAAATGTGTGTGATGAAGAACTATTCATGGATTTCAAAATGCCATTGTGCCAAAATAAACTTACACTTTAACTCTCTTTCTCCCCAGACTTTTTGAAGTCTTCTTGTATTTAATAATGAGAATCAGGTTTTTCTTGTACATCTTTTTTTTTTTTTTCTGAGATAAATCAAGCACATCTAGGTCTAGCTGCAGTAGCACACGCCAGGTGCTGCTGCCTTGCAAACTGAGATCCCTTGAGAGGCCTGGGTTCAATTCTTTGCCCTCCCATGAAGTAGCCAGGCATGGTAATGTGTTCGATATCCCTGGCTGCCCTGGAGGCCAGGTAGGAGGATTGTGACACAGTTTAGCTATCTGAGACACCTTGCATACACCACAAAAACAAAAACACATCTAATCTATTTTATCTTGAATTATTGGCAGTTTTTGTTTTGTTTTGTTTTTGTTATAGGGCAGGTGCGCTCACCAGAAAGAGAGAGACAGACAGAAAGTGAGAAATCACCCCCCAGGGCGGATGGCCACGCTGTAGTCCCTTCTTCATTCTCCTCTCAGGATCTTGGGCATGCACGCACACACACCCGGCATGAGTTTAAGCCACCGGGTGTGGGACTCAAATCGCAGTTGACTATATGAGAGTCCAGTGACATAGCCATTATGCCAACTGCTGGTCCTGATCAGCAGCTTTTAATAGCTACAAAATGAAGTGTTTTGATGTGTTGACATGATTATTCCAAATTCTAAACTCTGAGGGGAAAAAATACCTGTTTATACATACAGTAGGATTTGAGTTCTAATTTCTAAGATAAAATTGAGAAATCACCCAGATATTATTTTATATGGGGTCAAGTCTTCTGTGGATAGAAATAAAAATCTCTGGAACCCTGCACACCCCAACCCTTAAATAACTGTTTATTTTAGCTTCCTCTTTAGAATGGGCCCTGGGTGGGGCAGTGGAGAGGAGCCATGTGCTGGGGACAAAGCCACCCTGTTTAATGAGGTGTAATAATAGGCACATTCTCTGGACCACTTAGTAACAAACACAAATAGAAAAAATAAATCGTCTTTCTTGTTGCTCTGAGCGGAATTTCAGTTCCTCTGCTGAGAAGAGCTCTTTGCTTGTTTCATGATGTACTTACTGTTTTTACAGGAGAGCAAAGGCCTCAGAGACCTGGGAACAGTGAGCGTTTCCCAAAGAAGGAAGACAGCCAGGCCTGGTAGAGGCCATGCGCCTGCCTGTGCTGCAGGAATAATTGGGTTGGGGGGGAGCAGCTCTTTTTTTGTGTGATTATTGTGAAAGTATACACAACAGGAAATTTACAGTTCTGTTTCTCTCTTTTTATAATTATTTTATTTTAACTTATTTATTTATTTATTTTCATTTGACCAGAGAGGGGGAGAGTGAAAGAGAGAGAAGGGAAAGTGAGAAAGCAAGCCACCAGGCCAGGACTCGAACCACGGTCAGCCATGTGGGAGTCCAATGCCCCTTAACCGTCACACCACCTGCCGGCGTCTCCAGTTCTATTTCAAGCACATGAGTCAGTAAAGTACATTCCCAGTGTTGTGTAGCTCTTGCCACTATCATTTTCAGAAATGCGTCATCCCAAACAAAATCAAACTCTGTGCCCATTAAATGCTAACTCTCCACTCCCACCCTTCCCATCCTGCTTTCAATCTCAGTGGGCTTGCCTATTTCAGGGACCGCCTATGAGTAGAATCATACAGAATTTGTCCTTGTGTCTGGCTTAGTTCATTTCACATAAGGTCTTCAAGACTCATCCATGTTGTAGCCTCTATCAGGATTTTACTTCTTTTTATGGCCAAATAATAGTCCCTTGGATAGGTAGGCCACATTTTGCTTATGCGTTCATCTGTTAAAGGACTCCTGACTTGCTTCTACCCATATCACAATGCTTTTTCCCTGAGCTCCGTATTGAATCTCCCCACCCCTGAGAAGATCAGGAGTAGCCGCTTCCTATCTCACTTAGGCTCAAGCGTACAGGAGGGCCCCTTTGAACAGGTGTTAGTGGGATGGCGCTGGTCTCTGGAGGTTATCAGCTACGGCCCTCACTTATTTTCCCTTCTGGATCCACAGTGCCCACAGAGTGCCCGGTTCATAGTTGGTGCTTAATAAATTTGCTTAGGGATGTGTGGAAAGAGTATGAGTCCAGGCTTTAGGAGGCAGACAACCTGGTGAGCATCTTCCATAGCAGATCCAACTCTATAGGAAACTTAGCAAGGAGCAACTTTCCATGACACTTGTTTTTCCTTTGAATAAGGATGAGAAGGGGGAGAGCCACCCTCCTAAGTGGGACACACACTCTTGTCATTAAACGTGGGCCTTGTTGCACTTGCCCCTCTGTGTGCGAGGTGTGGAGGAGGGGTCCTGTTTTCCTCTGGGATGCCACATACAGCTACGGTGTTCTCTTCGCATCACTGGCTGTCATTTTGGAGTGAAAGTATGTTTGGACCACGGAGACGTTTGATCTTACCTGTAGTTTGACATTCCATTTGTCAGGGTGGTGCTTTGCCTGCTTTGACCTTGAAGCTTTTTCTCAACTCTGTCAGCTCTAGAAAGAACTCTTCGTCCCCACCACCACCTCCAAGCCCTCCCTCTCTCCCCATTCCTTCCCCTGTCTCTATCTTGTTGCGTGGGTCCCCTTCCTTTCTTTCCTTCACTCTGATGTCTTGTGTTACAGATTATTTCATCTCTTTTAAAAAAATCTTCATTTCCCAAATAATTCTGTAGAACTATTACACAATGGATCTCTAAAGCTCTGTGTGTGTGCATGTGCAACCCTTCAGATGGGCTATTGGTTATTATTAACCATTTTGATGGTTATTTCTTTAGTGAAAATGGTGTGCACTAGAATAGATTCAGACAGACCGGGCTTGAGCCTTGGCCTCAGTACCCATGCTGGGTCCTCCGGAATGGATTCCTTCTCTTTCCCCACCTCATTTCCCACGTGTGAAGCAGGCCCGATGGCAGCAGGTGGGCACTTCTTCACAAGGCGGACATGAGGATTTAATGGACCAATCCAGATTGAGCTCTGAGCCCAGGCAACTGTCATTTCTACACTTTCTACAAAGACCTGCCACCTGCTTTTTGCACTTTATCGAGGGGCTGTTTCACTGAGGTTTTTGAGCCGAATAGCTCCTAGCAGCGACAGTGCTGTCCCTCTCAGCCAGTGTTCCACCGAGCCCATCTCAGTTTGCAGAAACTCTGCTGGGACCTGCCAGCTGCACGGGACCTTTGGTGTGATCTGCTGCCATGCAACTCTCAGGACTGGCCTCCAGGCCATGTGAACAAGAAAGCCAACCCTGTGTTTTTCAGAGTTCTCATCTATGGACTTTTCTTCTGTTTTGCAGCTGATGCTTTTTTCAAAGCCGCTATAAGCCTTGTTCCAGAAGTTCCGAAGATGATTAATATTGATGGAAAAATGCGGCCGTCGGAATCATTCCTTCTGGAATTCCTCTGCAATTTCTTTTCTACTTTATTAATAGTTCCGGTATGTTCCCCAAAGGGCTATAGGAGATACCTTTTATTTTTATATTGAATATTTATTATATGCCTTATGTGTCTTCACCCTAGAAGTGCAGGGATGTTCTATCTAATATCTATGCATCAGTTGTCTGGTTCAATATTTGAAGTGCTCAGTGAATTTTCTATCCATGCTATCTAGGGATTCAAGCCTCTTGCGGAATTACTGGACCTAACAAGGATTTTTAACCCAGGGTCTGCCTGCTCCTTGAGGGTCTATCTGGCAGAGTGACCATGAATTTGTATGAAGAAAAAAAAATGACATCTTAATTTTGACAAAGCTCTTAGTAAAATTTATTTTTAGGTTTATTTTATTTCTTTCTTCCATGAGTGAGATAGGGCAGGAGTTGGGGGGAGACAGAGAAACTGCACACCAATAGAGTCTTCGTGCTGCAGTGCACCCCCAACTTTAGCCAGCCCCAGATCATGGGCACACATGGACCCAGTGCATTCTGAGAGGTCTCGACATGAACCCAGAGCCCTCTTACGTGTATCAGTCCCTGAAAGCATTGCATTTTACCACCATACCACTGTCTGACCCCTCTGCATCAAATGTACCTTTCACCCAGTTACGAATTACAAGCAACAAGTCACAGAAGGTGTAGCAGTAGCTGGGACTTTGTCACTATGGAAATCAACAAATATATTCATATCACATTACAGGTGTGAAAGATATTTCAGGAAATCATTTATGTGCTTCTTTCCTTAAAAATATAGTAGTTCTTGGGCCTAGTACTAAGTCTATTAATGCATTCACAAAGGAGCAGTAATTACAGTATCACAAATGTGTTGAAAGAATATTTCAACAACTAGACTTTAGTGTGATTGGTTTTCTTGGTAGTCTTAAGAATTTTATTTTCTCCATTAAAAATACTGGGTCAGGGCCGGCAGATGGTATAGTGGTTAAAGGCACTAGACTCCCATATGGCTGACCACAGTTTGAGTCACGGACTTGGCAGCTTGCTTTCTTACTTCCTTTCTCTCTCTGTCTCTGGTCAAATTGAAAAATAATGATAACAAATAAATAGATAGATAAATCTTTTAAGGAAAAAAAAAACTGAGTCTTTGGAAGTCATGATGAATTTTTGTATAGAAAAATATGTCATGACTTTTCCACTGACTCAGTAGTATTCTGAGGAGTCCATAGACTTCATCTGGCTGCCTCATGGTCCATGCCACAAAACAGGTGCATGTACATGTCTGACAATGCCGGACAGCTGTGCATATTCCAGGGGCCTTCTCTTAAGGAGTCTCACTCAGTAGGTTCAAATAGGTCCTTAAATCAGCATTTTGGAAAACTCTTTCGGTGATTCTGGTGTAGTTGGTCTTAGGACCACAGTGTGGGAAATATCACTTTGAACATGGTGACTTGTTCCCCATGGGTGCTAAGCTCTAGGGTGATCCTAAACTGGATCATGTGTTGATTGCACAACTTCTTGGACACACTAACAATCACCAAACTGTGTAATTTAAACAAGTGTATCTCAGTAAAGCTGAGAAAACAGAAAGTAACTCAGCTCTCTACTCTCCCTGTTCAGATCCCAAGTTCTTAGCAGACAGGATGGGTGTTCAGGAGGCTAAGCTCAAGGACTATAACCTAGCTGCGAGTGGGGACCCCCATAGTCCTGCAGGCAAAGCAGGCAGCACCCCAAGAAGATGATCCAGAATCAACCAGGCAAAGCCGCATAGACAACTTCTAGAGTTCCTTCACTCTACTCTTAATTTCAGTCTTTTAAAATCCCTCTTTCTAATAAATTTCTATCCTCTTTGGATAGTCTAGTTATTTGTCAAGTAACAAACCAAGTGGGGGGGAAAAAAAAACAGTGTTTGGAATGAGGCAGTTCATTGATAAGTTGAGATTTGTTTACTGTCTGCATGTACGGTTTTCTGCATATTAAAAATATGCCTGGGCGCGTGTGAGTGCATGTCCAAAATCCCAAGCAGAGATTAGAGGAGAAGAGATTGTGGTGTGGCCATCCCCCCGGGGGGTGATTTCTCGCTTTCTGTCTCTCTGGTGAGTGCACCTACCCTATAACAAAAATCTCTCTTAAAAATTAAAAAAACTAAAAAATCCATGGAAACTTTTGGAAAAACCTTATCTTTAGAATCAGAAATTTGTGTTTATTTCTGACCTGACAACTTCATAGCTCTGAAACCTTGACAAAGTTTTGTAGCTTCTTAAAGCCTCAGTTACTGCTTTTCTAAGAGGTCATCAAAAGTCCTCCTAGTGGGATAACTGTGGGAGCTGAATGAAGCGATAGCTACGAAAGTGCTTTGTAAGCGAGCAGTTCCGTCCTTGGGTTACAACCAAGTGGCCAGAGGGCGGGATCCAGGCCATAGACATGCTTGTTGGCTGTGTAAGTATGGCAGACACTTGGAGTGAGTTTCCCACATTTAAAAATGGGTAGATCACAGAAAAATTCAGATCTGCAGCTCCCTTTGAAAAAATAGGTCCTGCCACATGTTACCCCGTGCTACCTGGCTAGTTGAACAACCAGGAAGCATCTGTCCCAGGTGGGTGACTTGCATGTCTCTCCAGTTCCTAGTCACCTCTAGGCCTATTGAACTCATTTCTACTGTCTGCCTGGACACTTAGGCATTTGTGGGACTAGCTTTCATTCTCAACTGATTCACAGTTATTGTTCCTGATGTCATCACACATACTTCTGCTGGGATTTAGCAACGAGATGAGGAACAACTATGCTGTATCTCACTAGGTGCCCTGAGCCTTGCTAAAGCCCTCGGTTAACATTCAGTCCCTAGGAATCATCCCCCAAGCTCTGCAAAGTCTTTTTCACTTTGGAAACCTCGAGGCTCCCTATAGTGTGACTGAGGTCACTCAGCTAGTAAGTAACAAAGCTGAGATTTGAATCCAGGGCTGTGCTGCACCAGAGCCTGGATCCTTTGCAGTTTGCCGCCTTTGCTCAAGGTCACTGAACATTAACAGCTGTGTGTCCTTCCTCAGAGGATGCAGCATTGCAGGTCTGCATTGTGCATGCAGCATTACTGGATCTTTAGACCTGTATAGCCAGGCCTGAGCACTGGATAGAGTCCCAGGTGATCAGCTGGGCCACACCCCAGCTTTGTCTGCTGTGAAGAAATTTAGTATGAAGACGAGACCCGCATTATACATTTCCCTGGTTCCTGTTACTTGTCATCACAGCTTTTAATTTTTATTTGGTTGTGGCGAATATGAATATGACAGCTCCCCTTTCAGCAGAGTTTGAGGTGTACCGTGTGTTCCGTTGATGGCAGGTATAGCGTTAGGCAGGTGTCTCTGGAGCTTACTCATCTTGCTTACTTGAAACTTCAGGTGCATTGATTAGTAATTCTCCATTTCCCTCTCTCCCCAGGCCCTGCAACCACCATTCCACTCTTTGATTTTGATAGTTTCAGATACTTCTTATAAACGGGTTCATGTAGTATTTGTCTTTTTGTGACTGGCTTATTTCAGTTAGCATTATGTTCCCAAGGTTCATCCATTCTGCTTCATATTTCTTTTATATCCCATGTTTTATTTATTCTTTTGTCTGTCGATGGACATAGATTTCCATGATTTGGGGTATCATGCATAATGCTGCAGAGAACAGGGAGTGCAGATACTGCCTCGAGATCCCAATTTCCGTTCTTTTGGGTATATCCTCAGAATTGGGGTTGTGGGTCATATCATGGTTTTATTTTTTATTTTTTCTAAGAACCTCCATACTGGCTTTTTCTTTTTTAATAACAGCTGCACCATTTGCATTCCTACCAATAGTGCACAAGGCTTTTTAAAATTTTTACTTCTCCTGTGGCCAGCAGGTGGCATAGTGGTTAAAGTGCTGGACGCCCACGTGGTCCACCACATATTGAGTCCTGGACCCAACAGCTTGAAACTCACACCAGGCGCATGTGCATGTGTGCCTAAATCCCTAGAGGAGAATAGAGGAGAAGGGATTGAGGTGTGACCTACTGGTGTCCGGGGGCGGGGGGTGATTTCTCACTGTCTCTCTGATGAGTACACATGCCCTATAGCAAAAATCTCTCTCTTCTGTGAGCAAGAGAGAGAGATGGCATCCCAGTAGGTGCTTCCTGCTGCCATCCATCCCTGCCTCAGCCAGCCCGGGATCACAGGCACACAGGTGCTTATGCGTTCAGGGGGTTCCCTGGTTGTGAACCTGACCTTTCCACGTGGGTCAGCCTAGCAGAGTATTGCATCACTGCTGTGCCAACATCCAACCCTCCGTCAGGCTTTATAAAAGGGTGGTTTTGGAAAAACTTTGATTCATTTGATTTGCTTAGGAAAGATGAAAGCCATTATAGACCAGAAAAAGGTTCTAGCCTGCTTTATTTATACTTACACATGTGGACGTAAACATTCCCCAGGACAGCTAGCTCACTCTCGTCCATAGCAGTGAACTTCTGGGGTGTTTTAAAGCTTTCTGCTCTGGCTTCTTATCATACTGCAGGACGGTGTTCTCTGTAGAATTGAACTGGCACAGTTCACGTAACACGTGGAACACATAATGTAGAATTGTCCCAACACTTTCTGAGGCCTGATTTTGATTCAGTCACAATTTGCAGGAAATGGAAATGTTATTCCCATCAATTTCCTGGCACTAACCACATAGGACACAGCGGGGAGATGTCTCTTCTCCCCCTTATCCCGGCGACAAGGTCCAGCTGCAGCACAGTGGGACACAGTGAGGTGTCCAGGTGTGAAGCTCGATTCATTCAGTCCTTTAGTCTAGTCCACAAGTATTTGTTGACCTGGGAATTGAGGAATGAACAAAAGAAACATGTCCCCCCACCCAGGAGGACAGACTCCATGTGAAGCAAATAAAAACACACATGGCTGTAATCACATATAATGACATGAAGAACTACAGGAGGAAGTGGCCGGTGGTGCAGCAGTAATGCCCTGCAAAGCGGGCCACATGGGAGGGTTCTGGGATCATGTCTGGAGACCTTGAACATGCTGGGCACACGTGTGCTCATGATCCAGGGAGGGCTGAGGCTAGAGTGGATTGCAGAGTGGAGATCCTGCTTGCGCTCTTGCTCTCTCTCTCTCCCTCTTGCTCTCTCTTCATGGAAGAAAGAAAGAAACACTTTTTCATGTAAGTGGAAACTGAGGCACAGAGAGGAGAAAGGTCACCAGCTAGTAAGTAACCTTGCCAGGATCCAAAGCTGCCTTTGCTCTGCTGCTGCCCTCGCCACCTCTGGTCATGGCTGTCCCGGGAAGTGAACTGCTGCTGGCCTGTTACTTCTCCCAAGGAGTGGTGTGCAGTGGAAGGATCCCTGCAGACACAGACCACTGCCAGACATTGTGGTGGGGAAGTCGGGCCCCTACCAGGCCAGGTGGGAGAGGGATTTGAGTTCCTGCCAGGTGCCCTCTCAGAGCCCCCGAGTGCCTGGGAGGGGCCCTTGCCAGGAACGTCTGGGGTAACCTTTTCCCATCCAAAGTGCCATCTGAATCCAGGATATTTTCTTCTTAAAACAAAACAAAACAAAACCTCTCTGCCTTGCTTCAGTTGTTGGCATTGAACTCTCAAAAAGTACAATTTTTTTTTTGAAAAATGTTACAGCCACTGAAGCATAGATAGCACGTGGAACTTCTTCTCCTTGTACAGAAGGCTGGAAACAATCTCTCACCTCTTCGGTCGTAAACAAAAGCTCACGAAAGTGATTCACTGCAAATTCTTGTCTCCATGACTTCTTGTTGCATTTTTTTGAATGTACATTGCATGGTCTCCCACAAGAGTTAGGGCATTCATGTTGAAATTAAGCTCTTGAAACATTCGGATTATTGTCTGTTCCCAAGGCAGATCCTTAAATAAAATATATTTTTGGACATTCACATAGCAGAGCAAAATAGCCTGGTTAGAAACAGCTGTCAGCAAAAGAAGGCAGTAGTCAGTTACAGGCTGAGGCTGACTAAATGGGAGGCAGACTGGCTCAGGCAGTTTTGGTGCGTGTAGTTCACGGCTCTCAGATTTGTGAGCATCACGTACCCTCATTCTTGACAATAACACGAGAGCAGTTCCTGTACGTGTTAACGGCTTGCACAAAACATTTCACACTCTTGCACCATTGCAGCATTACTGCTCTATGTACATACATACACACATGCTCATACAGCGGCTGAGGCTGCAGTTAAGTCCCACCCTCTGGGTCAGTGGCATTTCTTGGGCTTTGTGCTGGCGTCCAGAAAAGTCAGCCACACATCCGCTCCCCCAGTTCACAAGCACCATGCAGTCAGCGACATGCCTGGTTCGCAGTAGTTAGGAATGCTTGCTCTGGAGCCAGCCTGCCAGGGCTCAAATCTTGGGTCCCCCCATGTAGCAACAGTGTGACTTAGGGCCACTTAAACTCTCTGGCGTATTTCCCATCTGTGAAATGGGAGTTTATAATATTATCTTCCTGAAGTACAGAAAAGCCCTGCTAGCTACTGTAAATGTTAGCTATTGTTTTTTTAAATTTTATCTTTAAAATTTTAGTTATTTCTTCCTTAAGTGAAAGAGACCGAGAGAGGAGAGAGAGAGAAATAGTGTCCTGACTGGGTCTTGACTCTGCAATCTATCCCAGCCAGCCCCAGGTCATGGGCAAGTGCATGGCCAGGGTATTGAGGGAGGTCTCCGGACTTGAACCGGGAACCTTCCCAGATGGGATTGCGTTGTAGAGCATTGCATTTTTTTTGGGGGGGGGGGATTTTTGCTATAGGGACAGAGAGAGACAGAGACACAGAAAGCGAGAAATCACCCCCCAGGGGGGATGGCCACACCACAATCCCTTCTCCTCCATTCTCTTCTCGGAATCTTGAGCATGCAAGCGCACACACCCAGTGTGAGTTTAAGCCACTGGGTCCAGGACTTGAACCGTGGTCAGCTACATAGGAGTCCAGTGACATAGCCATTACGCTAACTGCTGGTCCCTAGAGCATTGCATTTTAGTGCTGTGGCACCATCTGGTCCCTCTTACTTGTTTCTGTAGCTGTCTTAGTGCTTAGCACATAGAAGGTGCCGAAAAAATGTAATCTGCTCAGCTTTGTTTACCTGGTGCCCACTGTGACCCAGGGCAGGGACAGAATGGAGTTATATGCCACCAGGAGCACCGTTCACATTGTCCTCCGGGTGCCATTCACAGAGTCGTGCAGCCAGGCCAACCTGGCAGCGTGTTGCAAACAATAGAAGAAGCACCTCTCCATGGAAGTTCTAGGCTTGTGTGTGTGAGAGAGAAATAGATAAACCACAAGATGTCCTTGAGCTGCTCCCTGGAGCAATCAGTAAGACTGTTTCTGATGGTGAGAATTGCTCTTAAGGAAACAAGACAGGATGATTCATGGAGAATAGGGACCATGGCAGGGAGGAAGGGGCTCTAGACAGGCAATCGGGGAGAGCCTTACGGGGCAGCTTACATGTAAAATGAGATCTGCTGGCTGTCAAGGAGCCAGTTGGGCCACGTGTTGGGGGCACAGAGTCTAGCCAGAGGGAACAGTCGGCCCGGAAAGTTGGAATGTCCCGGGCTTGTATGTGGCCCCCTCGGCGGTATCCCGTGCCCTTCTGGCCTGCTCTGTGTGGGGAGTCTGGCCTTTGGGAGCCATATCACCTGGGCCTGCCTGCCTGCTTCCTGGCTTCGAACTCGTCCAGACAATAGGAGGCACCAGCAGTGCATCAGAAGGCTGGGGAGCCAGGTTAGGGCATTTACCTGTCATGCTCACCAGGCCATGATTGGGCAGTGGCTTCGCTCCCAGCTTGTGCGAGGGGTACCCCTCCAGCTGCAGGTCGGGCTGGTCTCAGAATGCTTCTCTCAGCCCCTTGTGCTTGTGGCCCAGTGGTAGTGGCTTCCCGTTGTTGTCAGCCCTGGTGTCTCACCTTTCTCACTAGTTCCCTTCTCCCCAACGGTGCAGCAGGTCCAAGGGGGGGCATCACGAAGCATATGCAGGTGTGACTGGAGCAGGTGAGGGGGACAGGGCGTGAGTGGGGGCAGTGAGGCCGTGGGGTGGGGACTGGCTGGACATTTGTTCCAGTAGAGGAAAGCTATGAGGAGTTCGAAACAGGGAACGTCGTCACATAGACCTGCTGGCACTGAACTGGAACTGCCCACTCCCTGCCTCACAGCACTTTTGGGATTCAGTTTAATGGCTGAGAAACTGTGTGCTCTAAAGTCTGCGACTCAAAGTCTCCGACTTCCTCCTGGATTGTCCCCTCCCGAGGGAGTGTCCTCAGTTTGGCTTACTGTTCTCCAATGTCCAAAAGAGCAAGGCTCTATTTAAAGTCAGTGGCTCAGGTGGTGACAGCAATCATTTGAGGGTTTACCCAGAGTAGGTGGCGTCTGCTGTCCCATCTGCTCCAAGGCCCACAATCTTGCTTTTGTAGTTGGAGAAACTGGGCTTATTTTTTTACTGCTTTGCACAGAAAAACAAGAGTGTAATTTTGGAAACAAGCCATTAAGCTGACAGGTAACTGTTCTCTTACTCTGCAGACCTAAAAAAGGGAGGCTTTCAGAGCCTGTTCCCCCACACTGCAGTGTGTCGATTAGTGGGATTATCGTTTTGTCACTTTGCCCTGTATCACTTACCCGGGCTTATGAGTGGGCCTTGCCTTTGGAAAGTAACTGGCACTTTCTTCTCTCTACAGCTGCTAAAGGGAGGGACCTGGAATTCTGTGCCGACCCCTCCCTGCCCCACTTCCTATCTCAGATTATTTATCCTGTTTTTGTTCTCTGCCAGGATCATCCCGAACGTGGGGTCCTGTTTCTCGTTCGAGAGCTTCTCAATGTGATCCAGGACTATACCTGGGAGGACAATAGTGATGATAAAATCCGTATCTACACCTGCGTGCTGCACCTCCTGTCCGCCATGAGCCAGGAGACCTATCTCTACCACATCGACAAAGGTAGCAGGCCGCTCCTGCCAAACCGTGCCCTGCCTGAATGTCCTAGAAGGCAAATGAAATGTTCTCATTTTCTCTTTTGTTTCTTTTCCCCTGTGTTTTCACTACCATGAGCTTCTTCTAGTCCAGGCTTTCACTAAATTTACCTGACCTACGTCTTACCTGGGGCAAATCTTAGGAGTACAGATTCCTGATCCCCACTCTGCCCTATCTAAATTAAAGCCCCCACAAAGAGGTTCAAAAGTTTGTATCTGTAATAAGCAACTGAGTTTGTTTTGACCTTCAGACAGGTTTGGAGAAGCTCTCTTTTGAATTGATACACTACAGAATAACCCACAACAATGGCTAAATTATACACATATATGTGAGCTTCACCCCAGGCCTGTTCCTAATCACAGTCTCAGACCAGATCCTGGTGTGGGGTTGTAACCCGCTCTTCAGATGAGGTGGAGGCTATGCAGGCCTTCAGTTCAGGTACCCTGGAGGAAGGAGACAGCCTCGCTCCTCACCTGCCACCGACCGTTTTAAACTTGCTGGTGCACGTAGGGAACAGCTTTCTCGTGTCCTGGGCATAACGTGCAACAGTCCCAATTCCAGACCTTTCCTACTGAGCCAAAGTGTCACCCTGCTCTTTGCATCCTCAGTTATGACTTTGTCGTTAAAAGCACTTTGGCAGGAACTCTTGTTTCTGGGGAAAGTCGTGATGCATTTTTGCATAGAAAAACATGTCATGACTTTTCCGACCACCCAGTATATACCATAGAGTTAAGAACCTGTCTCTGTGCTTAGAAGTTGCACTACTAAGGGACTGCCTTCTGTCGTAGCACTCAGAGGCCTTCTCTAGTGGGAGTGGGGAGTGCGTGGTGAAGATGTAACTTGGGGAGACTAGTTGGTGTTGACAGGGATGGCTACCACAACCTGAGCACCTGCTGTAGCCAGGTTCTGCACCAGACTAGCGGCCTTGTCCTCCTTTAGTCCTTACAGCATTGGCGTGAGGACTGGCGTTCACGTCCTCACATTACATATAAGCAAGGGGAGACCGAAAAAGGCCATGGAATTTATCCAGGAGCTGCTGCCTACTTAGTAATGGGAGTGGAATTCACACTCTGAACTGCGGGACATACATTATACTGCTTCTTTGAGCACAATTCACAATGAGTGTGGTTTGCCCTTCTCTGGTGGCTGAGAGTCAGAACACCTCCTCCTGTATTTGTTTATGTTTTTACTTCCCTTTTTGTGATGTGTACATTGAAAATAGAGAAAATCTGAAAGTGGAAAAAATTGTGAAACCCAGGCAAGGACGTGGAAGCAGGTCCGAAAACTGCATGACCTGCTGGAGGCACATGCTCTCACCCTGCCTTCTCCTCTCTCTGCTCTTCCTCAAGTAGCTTCAGTTCATTTTTTCACTGAATAAGACTGCAGGATGAACTGCCAGAGCCAGTCACTAGCAAAGGTCGTGAGGCTCTGTGCAGGATCTTCAGAAAAGTTCCTGGGAAGTGAATATGATGAAAAAGCTGCATGGGTTTCAAACATTTTTGCACCAAAAGAAACTCGTACTTTAATTTTATGTTCCCATGAACTGTTTCAAGTCCTCTTGTATTTGCTAGGTGGGATCTAGTCTTCTGGCTTTCAAAAGTGCAAACAGAGGGAGGCTTTCTTTCCCCTCTCAGCCCAGCTGTGTTTGCTTTGGATGCACTCACGACCTGACAAGTGCTTAGTGGACGACAGACCCGGGGAGCCATGGGAGGCTCTGCAGGGTCCGGGGGTGCCATTCGCCTTGCTGCCTTTCTTAAACTAGCTAAGGAGCCTTTTAGATAATGTTGACATAGCTTAGAACTTCTGAAAAAAGCAGTGAGATCATGTTCACATTTATGAAGAATGCCTTGACTGTGTCTTTGCAGACTAATAAAAAGAGAACATTCTGACATTACCTGGAGCAGTTAACTCCAGCCCTTTTACGTGAGCTTGCGAGAGAGTACGCATGTTTGATATGGAGGTGAAGAATATTTCTGGATTCCAAATGCTTATTTACTTAACATGCAGCTAGCGTAGTCTTTGTTGCAAGGGTACAACCCTGGATGCGTCTATGAAGCCACTGTAGCCCCCATCACTCTCCCACATCACCTGCTAGGCCCTTGAAGCACTTGGGTTTGTGACCCTGGGGTCAGACGATACAAGGATCATGGGCTATTTTTAGTGACCATTTGCCAGGGACATAATTTCTCCCCCTTGTGAAAGCCACGTCTGGACTTGCCAGCCCATTCTGCACTTAGGCCTGGCCCAATTACTCCTCATTCTCCCCATCTGCCCTTTGCCCCCTCTGTCTATGGCCAGTTGTTAGCATGGAGAACCTGCCTCCCCTCCTGACCCCCCATCCCCCCCATCCCACTTTCTCTTGTGAGTTCTACCTATACCTCACTGATCCCATCATTTCATTCCAGGCCTAGATTTTAGGATCCCATAACCCACATACCACCCCTCCTGGCACTCAGCACCCAGTATGCCAGTCACCTGTTTGCTCATCTGTATTGTCTGGTAGACTGTGAGCTTCACGAGGGCAGGGCCGCGTCATCCTTGTCCTCCACCCAGTCCCCAGCTCCCAGCCCAGATTCTGGCAGTGAACAAGCCCTCATTCTATAGGTGCTTTGTGTGTATGTGTGCATATGCGTGTGTGTGTGCACACATGCACACACACAAGCCAACATACATAGTGAGCCAGTGGCCTGCCCTCAGCGTACCTCTGGTCCTACTGGTCCCCATTGCTGGACTGTTCAGACAAGAGCAGACTCCAGCCCAGAGGAAGACTGGGGGTTTATGGCAGGAACTATTCTGACCTCAGCAGTAGATGTGGGAAATCCCTTTACCAGCTAGTTTTGCTGCCCCGCAAACTCCGGTGGTGAATGGCTGAATCAAACTCTTTTTGCTTCTTACAAGAACTACCATCCTCGACATCAGAGACAGCAGTTGCACCACAACAGCCAGAGCCAGAGCCATCTTGGAAATGCCAAGATTGACTCCTCGGCCCAGGGCTTCTCATTCACTACCAAACTGGGGACAGAGGAACAGTTGCAAAGTGTAAACAGTGGGCCTGCGACCGTATCCCCGAAGGAGTAACTTGGATCTTAATTGCAAGCATTTTGAAACTTTCTGAGAGTCCACCACTGTGGTGAATGTTACATCATTGTGTCTTTGAGCACCTATTGGAGTATTTTCTTGGAATACATCTTCTGCAGTGGTTTTCCTGAGTCCAATGATAGGGACTTTTTGGTACTGGTATTTTTATTTCAATTTTTAAAATTATAATAAATATACATAACATGACGTACCATTTAACCCTTCAGCTTCATCAAGTGCATTCACGATGCTATATACACATCACCATTGTTTTCAGCAGCAGCTGTGCCCAGTAAGCAGTTCCTCTGTCACAGCCCTCCCCACAGGCCCTGGTGACCTCTGTTCTACTTTCCATCCCTATGAATTTGTTTAGTCTAGGAACCTTGTGTGAGCGGAACCACACACACAGTATTCATCCTTTTGTGTCTGGCTAATTTCACTTACAATAATGTCTTCAGGGTTCACCCATGTGTCAGAATCCACTCCTTTTTAAAAGGAATAATACTCCACTATGTGCATATCCAATTTGCTTTTCCATTCATCTGTTGAATCTGTCGATGGACACATGGACTGCTGTGAACCTTGGTGCACAGGTGTCTGTGTGAGTCCCTGCTTTTGGTTCCCTTGGGCATGTACCTAGGCAGGGCATCACTAGTTTCCATGGTAACTCGTGTTTGACTTTGTGAGGAGCCGCCATGCTGTTTTCCACAGCAGGTACAACACTGTCCATAGTAATGCATGAGAGTTCTGATTTCTCGACATCTTCAACAACTCTCATTCTCCATATTTTGTGTGTTTCTTTCTCTCAAGAGAAAGAGGGAGGTAGACAGGTTCTCAATGGAGTTTCCTCAGACTGTAGTCTCCTCCCACCCCCAACCTTCCAGCCAGCCAGGGCCACTGCTGCATATGGGCCCAGTGTTTCAGGGCCTCCCACGTGGCTCCAGGACCACTCAGCAGCACCCTCTTGCCTTCTTCCTTGCAGATAGGCCTGTTTCATTTTGTTTTGTTTTGAGTAATAGCCATCTCAATGGGTGGGATGTGGCTCCAGACACTTTTAAGACTTTTCAAACCTATTTCCAAACTATTTCACTCCCGTCAATAGTTTCCCAGACCTCCATCAAAACTGAATATTTTAACCATTTTTTCTCACTTCTGCTAACATAAATGATTTAAAAAACAAATTCTTTTGTGGTTTTAGTTTTTGTTCTTTGATTACTAGTGAAGTTGATGTTTTCTTAAAGATTATGGACCTGAGGGGGCCAGCAGTTGGCATGTAAGTTAAGGTGCTGGACCCCCACGTGACCAGCCATTATTCAAGTCCCAGACTTAGTGGCTTGAAAATCATGCTGGGCAAATGCGCCCAGAAGCACAAAATCGTTGAGAGGAAAATGGAGAAGGGACGGTGCATGGCTATCCCCCCCAGAGGTGATTTCTTACTTTCCCTCTCACTGTCTCTCTCCCTGGCAAGTGCATGCACCCGATGGCAAAGACCTTAAAAAATAAAATATGAGCTGGATACAAGTATTTTTGATGCATTGATTATTGATGTATTTTTCAGTTTTTCTATTCGTGATCTTAGTAGGGGTCTCTTCCCAGAAAGCTCAAAGACCATCATGCCCGAACACTATCCCTTAGCGTTTCTTGGTCTTCATGACGTGTGTGTGTGGAACATGGTCCCTCATTCCTGAAGCTCATAGCCAGCAGTCAAGAATGTTTGTTTACAGGGAAACAGCATTTAGCGTATGGCTATGTCGCTGGACTCCCACGTAGTCGACCGTGGTTTGCATCCCGGACCCGGTGGCTTAAAACTCATGCCAGGTGCGTGTGCGTGCATGCCCAAGATCCTGAGAGGAGAATGGAGAAGGGATTGTGGTGTGACCATCCCCCCTGGGGGGTGATTTCTCGCTTTCTGTCTCTATGTCTCTGTCTGTCTGGCGAGCACACGCGCCCTATAGCAAAAACCTCTCCAAAAAAAAACCAAAAAAAAACAAAAAAAGAATGTTTGTGCACAGAGATGGCCTTTCATTGTAACAGTCTGCGTGTCTCACAGCATCCCGGCTGCCGTCTGTCCCTCGCTTATTCAGTTCCACAGGCCCTACTGTGCTTCCCATAAATACTGTCTTTTGAACATGTGTGTATTACGATATCCTTCTCACCTACTCATGTCCTTTCCACTTGTTCCCTAGAGACAGTTAAGAATGCTCTTTTTTCTTTTTTAATTTTTTATTACAGAGCATGTGTGCTTACTAGAAAGAGAGGGAAAGTGAGAAATTATCCTCGAGAGGGGATGGCCACCCCATAATCCCTTCTTCATTCCCCTCCCAGGATTTTGGGCACACATGCACATGTGCCTGGTCTATTTTCCAAGCTGCTGGAACCAGGAGTCAACCTGGCAGTCAGCCATACGGGATCTAGCCTCCTTAACCATTACACCACCTGGCCGACCCAATGAATACTCTTTAAATGGGGCGAGAGGGCCGCCCTGTGGCCTAGAGGTTAAGGGAGCCAGATCCTACATGGGCAACCATAGCTCACATGCCAGCCCTCTGCCCATATGTACATGCCCCAAATCCTGACAGGATGGAGAAACGGAGAAGGGACTGCATCATGACTGTGCCTCATTATTGGGTGCTTTATCCCTCTCCTCTCTTCTCTTTCTCTGTCTCTGATGAGCACACATGCCCTTTGGCAATTAAAAAACAAAAACAAGGGACCAGCAGTTAGCGTAATGGCTATGTCACTGGACTCCCACGTAGTCGACCACGGTTCGCGTCCCGGACCGAGTGGCTTAAACTCACGCCGGGCGCGTGTGCGTGCGTGCCCAAGATCCTGAGAGGAGAATGGAGGAGAAGGGATTGCAGCGTGGCCATCCCCCCTGGGGGGTGATTTCTCGCTTCCTGTCTCTCTGTTTCTCTCTCTGTCTGTCTCTCGAGTGCACGCACCCTATAGCAAAAACCTCTCAAAAAAAAAAAAAATCCCTAAACCACAAAACTGGATTAGTGTTGTGTGTGCGCTCTTGAAGGTGTGCACACAACTGTGCCTGAGGTGTAGCCCCTGGCTTATCATGGGTCTCCACGCTGGGCACTATGGCTCTTACTCTAGGCCTCAAGAGCCACCCTGAGCTTTCCTGCTCCTGACCTCCTAGCACAGCGTTGGCTCCCAGCAGCCTTCACACGCGCATGGGTTCAGGTTCAGGGCTTCTTGGCATGCTCACAGCAGGCTGCCACGATGCTCTCGGTCCCACGCAAGGCAGTGTTTGGGAGTTGGAGAAAAGCAGTTGCTAAGGGGGCCAGCAAGAAGAGGAGTGTAGCTCATGTGCGTGCGGCTGGGAAGAGCAGTTCTGTCAGGCAGAGCCCTCTGCTGTGGTTTCACTGTGGACTCTAAGCGTGGCAGCAGGTTGGCCCTAGCCTTCCCCCAACCCTCCAAAAAAAGAGAGAAGCGAAACAGCCAAGTGTTCTTTGGTAGGCACCAGCTGAACTTCCTGGTCTGTCACATAGGGAGCTGCTGCCCAGCCATCACAAAGCCACAGATGTGGACCCGGCAACGGGGAGGTAGCTCCGAGGTCTGTCACTGAGCCAGCAAAGCAGAGTGCAAGACTGCGCCCCGCACCGCCCTTTTCTTCCCTTACCCGGAGCAGCGCATGCTGTGTGTGACGACCTATTAATAGGGAGGAAGGAGGAAGGTGTGGAGGAGCGTGCAGGCTGCCCTTGGCTGTCCTTGGCCTTCCCAGGCAGTGCCTGTCATAGGAAGTGACCACACAGAGCCTGGAGAATGTTTGGCAAGAGATGTTGTCAAAGGGATTCGATCTTCGAGAGGAGTTGGAATAGGGAATTTCAGATCTAGTTCTGAGGAGGGGGCCACTGGCAGGCAGTCGAATGCAGTGGTTGAGAGCTTGGGATCCTAGCTGGGACGGCCCGTGAGCCTGCTCTGCATAAAACGGAGATGTCAGCACCATCTCTCATGTGCTGGTTCTGAGGACCCTGTGATAGCGCGAGTCAGGTGCCTACCCAGTGCCAGCAGCGGGTGTGATGGTCTCTGGGATCATTGTGCCCTCCGCGCCTGTGCCAGAACCGGACGACTTCCACACTACCAGTCTCTGGCTCAGACTGTCCTGTAGGCCAGGGGTTTTCCTTGTGATTCCCAAGGCCCTAAGGCCTGCGGGAAATTCAGCCATTTCCATCTGCCCCGCGATGATTTCCTGCCATCTGTTGACCCTTCCTGACATGCGGCCTGTCTCACTGCTCTCGTTTGTTCAATCAGTGGACTCTAACGACAACCTCTACGGGGGCGACTCCAAGTTCCTGGCTGAAAACAACAAGCTGTGCGAGACGGTGATGGCTCAGATCCTGGAGCATCTGAAAACCCTGGCCAAGGATGAGGTAGGGGCCCCCGCCTGTCACCACCACCCCCACTTGCTCTGAGAGCCTGCGTTTCCAGGGTGGTTTGATATTGGTTCCCTCTAGAAAGGAAACTATTTCGTGTGAGTAAAGTGTTTTTGTGCAAGCTGTTGACCTTTGCCCCTGTTGTTTCCTCTGGAATGCACTCCCCCAGGGCTTCTCCAGGCTGTCCCTTCTCATCCTTCAAATCTTAGCTCAGAGCACCTCCCCAGAGAGGCCTCCTAGGCTCCTGTCTCAAGTAGTCACCACCTGTCCACCTGCCTCTGTTGACCTGTCCTGCAGCACTTGATCATCATCTGAAATGTCCTGTGCGTGTGTTTCTCTGTTCCTTGCCTCTCCCGCTGGAATGTAAGCTATGTCCCCATGGGGGCAGGGGCCGAGGGAGTCTTAAAAGGCCTGCCTGTGCCAGGATTCAAATTGTAGTGAGCCACAGGTCAGCTCTCTTACCCCTAGGCCACAGAGCTCTCTTCTCCACGAACTTTTTGCAAGTTCCCTGGTACACATATGTCCTGGTCCTGGGTTCCTGCTCTCCCCAGGGTATCCAAATACTTGCTGGAAAGAGATTGAGATTTTTCCTACGCTTCAGTCACCAGTCTCTGCCAAGTGAAGGTCACTGCCTGCTTCAGGCTTAGCAGTCCAAAGGGCAGAGGCCTGGACGCCCCCACGGAAAATACAGAACCTCTGCTGCCCTGTGGCCCTAAGTGCCTCAGCACCTGGCAGCACCCTCCCTGGAGAGGGCGAGGATATGTGAGTGTGTCCCACTGATTCTGGGAGTCTGGACAGTGCCTGGAACTCGGGGCGATTTAACCGGCTCTCCATGATGGCATAGCACTGGAACTCCAGTTTCATCTTCGGGAAAACTGATTTATCAAACCGGTGAGTATCAGAAGCAGCAACACCCCTCTTCCACCCAAAGGCCTTTTACCAACACGTACAAACTCAGTCAGGGTTAGGACCATGCCTCTCTCTGGCCTGTGTACATGGTTTTTAGAAGAGAGCCCTTTCTACCCTACAGGAGGAAGGAGGCCCTGTACCTTCAGTTTGCCCTTGTTATACCAGTTAGATTCACCACCCGCCCCCGAAATTATTCTTAGCTCTTTCCC